GGCGGCCGCACGAGGCGGCGGCGCGCCCCTTTCCCGCCAGGGGAGGCTGCTGCTGGCGCGAGGTCAGCATTCGGGAGAGAAGATGGAGGGAGAGGCGCGGGGAAAGGGCAGGGGGAGGACTGGGCGGGCGACCAGCTAGGGCGTGAGGAAGGGGCTGTCGAGGGGCCGCGGGCGGCCAGCGCCGCTCCGCCGAGACCCCTGGCGGGCCCGGTGGAGAGCGAGGAGCAGCCCCTGGGAGGGGCCTGGTGCCCGTGTGGGGCCGGGCTGCGGGGCTGAGGCGGGAGCGGAGGCAGCGTGGTACAGAGCCTGGGGAGGGCTGGGGTGCAGCCTGCGGGGGCCGAGAGCCTGTGGGGGTGAGGAGGTGGGTGCCTGGGCACCGGTGAGAGGAGTCCAGTGGGCTGACTTTGCTCCTGAGGGGGCAAGTGACTGGCCTGAACACTGAGCCTGTCTCCTGGCTTTGTAAATCTATCTATATATAAAAATATGTGTTTATGCTTACGTGTAAAAGACCCGACGGGGTGGTCAAGTTGCTGTCAGGCTTGGCCCAGCTGCTTTGGTTGTGCTGGACCTGGTGCCTGTTAGACGTGGTAGTGAGCCCTGGGCTGCAGCTGCTGCTTGGGAGGATGGCTCTGGAAAGCCATGTGTCTGCAGGACCATGTGCCTTCACTTAAGTGATTCCCATGGAATGCATTCATCATTTAGTAGGGCCTTATTTTTAGATTTAGTGTGGATGTTTCTTGTTAAATATTTATGTGTGCTAAAATGTAGTTTTTAGTAAAAGGTAGGAGACTTGGAAATGAACTAATGGCTATGACTCTAATGTCATGTTGAATTATGTTAGTTTACTTTTAAAATGCAGTCCCTAATAACAAGGTTTATCTCATAGTAAATCTAAAGCAATGGCCTAGCAGAACACTTCCTTTTGCACAACAGTAATTATTCAGATACTTCTTGCTGGTTGTTACATTGTAGGAATTGTATTGAGCCATATATACACAAATCTAGCTATAAAATCCTTGGAGTTGTAAGGTGAAACAAATGATACATGAGAGACAAAAAAGCACGCACCTGAGCAGGAAATCGTTTATTTTTCTGGTCTTGCCAGGCAAGCTAAGGCAGATGAAGTATATTGCAGTTCAGTTGTGTAAGCACTATGTAGGTGTGCTGGATGGAGAGTGACAAATTATGAAACTTGCTTCTTTAATGATTGTACATGATTTATAATTGTTTTTAAAAAGGCTATTTACATTACTATATGTGGAGGGAGTAGCTAGTGCCTAATTTTGCTAATTCCTATGTTTTTTGTCATTCTCTGGATGGAACTGGGACTACTCTTGCTTAATTGTGAGCTGAACATCACTGAAAACAGCAAACTCTGTAATTTAATATGTTATAAAGCACTTCAGAAAATAAGAGTTAACTTTTTTATTTTAGCATCAGCAAAATAATATGGATAAGAACTTTCAAGAAGAGGAGTTTACAGGAATTGTTGAATTTACACCTCCTTTGTACAAACAACGCTACCAGTTCATTAAAGATTTAGTGGAGAAATACAAACCTAAGAAGGTTGGTATGGTTTGTCTTTTTATGTTACAAATTTGAAAACTAAAAAAATCGTTATCTCAGGAAGACAGGAAATGCATAGATAACCTGCTGACCTAATTACCAAACAACAGTAGTGGAGGAGCTATTGTTAAAACTAAATTGCCTTAGCAGGCACTGGATGATCATATTTTGTTTTTCAGAGGTGCATATAATTCATGTTAATTGATGAGAAGAGGGGAAAATCTAAACAAGAAAAATGCCCTAGCCTGTTCTGGAGAGTAGGTGGCATTCTAGTTTTAATTTAATGCTGAGGATGCAGTGTGCTTCAACCTTGACTTGGCCTGAGAAAAAACATTAGGGTCTAGTGTATGTACTCAACTACCTCTTAAGCTTACGGGAA